AATACTTGGATTCACTAGAATTCCTCTTGGGGAATAAACATCCTTTGGGGTAAAGAGGGAGGACTCCCAAACCCCCAAAAGTCATCAATCTAAGGTCTTAGAAACATGAATCTAATAAGAGTATGGACATATTAATTTGGAATAAGAGATGGAGCAGAATAGAATTTCCTGGCATAACAGAAGAGCAAGGTATTGAGAGCTCAGGGTGTAGCAAGTGATGAGAGGTACCTGGAAATGGGAAGGGAGAAAGGGAAATTCCTAGAGCTGGCCAAAGCAGAAAAAAAGACCTTGAGAAAAGAAAGTTTTGTATTGTTTGTGAGATGAATGATGTAACTCTCCTTTTCCATGTTCCCCCACAAAGTGATTTTCAAGCTTGTATTGTCCATCTTTTTTTTTCTTTCTTTCTTGCAAGTGAGTATTCTTTAGGAGTGACCCAAACAAATATGTTTTTGTTTAGGTTTGTGTGGATAAATCCAGAGACTACTGAGACAGACTTGGGTACAAAAGTCAAGGTTATAGCTGACATTAGTAATATAGGCATTGCTATGCTGTGAATGCTTGATGCATTTCAGTTGCCTACAGTCTTTGGTGGAATCCAGAATTCAGCAAAACAGTGCCATTGAAATTGTTCTAGGACTAATGAAGGTGAAATCATTTACCCTAATAGCCCTATGTACGTCATTCATTGATTCTAATGGTTACCTAACACAGAAGCTGAAAAATCTTTAACAAAGAACTCCCAAATCTCTGTTTCACTAATTCACTATCAGTCAATGGGTAGTTTTCCCCAAATCCATAATGAAGAAAATCCCATATCAGAGTAAGGATGGAGAACTTTTTGGAGGACAGTTTCAAAGAACCTACCAGCCAAGGTCACAGAAGAACACGTTTGACAATTTACTTGTTTCTCCTCTCGTGATGCTTCCCACGACCAACATCAGCCCTTTCTTTCCAGGATTGTCCACATGTTACTTTCTTACTGCTGTTACCCTGACCAATCTCCAGGTGGAGAGGAGCACCGGGCTGGCATCAGTGTTTGCATAGCACTTGATACAGATCTCTCCTACCCTTAACACATTGTTTCATGGTTCTTTGCTCATGGTTACCCTTTCATGTCAGGTACAGCTGACCCTGCTGGTAATTTACCCTTAGGTCCCTGGAGAGGAGGCTGGGCTCTTACTTTTTGTTATTTTGTGAGGATCTTTTCCAAAAGTCCACAGCCTGGGCAGAGTCCATTTTAGGAAGATTCACTGGCTGGGTGTGGTGGTGCATAACTGTAAAACCAGTTATTGAGAAGCTGAGGCAGGAGGATTGCAAGTTCAAGACCAGCCTCAGCAACTTGGTGAGATACTGTCTCAAAATAAAAAATAAAAAAGTTCTGGGGATATGTCTCAGTGGCAAAGCACCTCTGGGTTCAGTCTCTCGTACTGAAGATTCACTGAAGGCTCCTGGATACTGAGAGGGCGGTGACTGATTTACCTGTCTACTCCATAGACCAGAACTCGGGTTTCTTACAGTTCATTGTTTTGCTCCCAAGCACTTCTGAGGCCAGAGTCAACTTAAATTCTCCTTTTTCATGCTCACACTAAGTATTCCTCAGGCATCACCATTATTTCAGAGTCTAGGACAAATTCACCATTAGGGGCACAATGTTAAATGTTGGATACTCAGGGTCACAGGCAGCTGAGCCACCTGGGTGGGTGCACAAAATCTCATTCTTAGAATCCCCACACTTACTTGATGAATTCTTTTAGACAAATTGAAATTCTTTCTTTCTTTTTTTTTGTTCTTTTTTCCCCAGTGGTGCTGGGGATCGAACCCAGGGCCTTATGAATGCTAGGTAAGCACTCTACCAACTGAGCTATATCCCCAGCCCCCCAAATTGAAATTATTTTTTTTCTTTTAAATTGAAATTCTTAATTGTTGAACAAAGACCCTACATTTTCATTTTGCCCTGAGATTGACAAATTATGAATCAATCCTGGAGATACTTTTTCCTAACCTCATTTAAAGCTACTTCCCAAAGTCCTTATTTTCTACTTTCAGGTTGATGTCTCCTCAAGCCAATGATGTAAGTGACCAAATCGATCATGAGGCAATCCCACCTTTACATCCAGTCCAAGGCTTGATCTTATGGTTCCAACAAGGTAATCTAATAAAAATTGATATTAGACATTTTCCCAAATATGTATATTTTAAGGCTTCTAGAAGTCCTAGATTCATTCTAACCTAGGATCCTCTAGTTACAGATGTTAGAAATGCTATTTATATCAGTTTTTAAAAACTTGTCTTCAATTTTTAGAAGCACACTTGAGTTAAACAGACTTGGGAAATATAGAAGCACTTGTTTATGTATTAGAGTAAGTCAGAATTGCCATTTATTTAAATTCTGATGGTTAGATCTATACTGGGAGGTACTTTATTTTTATTCTCAATAGTTTTTTTTTTAAAGATAGAGTGAGAGGGGGAGAGAGAGAGAGAGAACTTTTTTTTAATATTTATTCTTTAATCATCGGCGGACACAACATCTTTGTTTGTATGTGGTGCTGAGGATCGAACCCGGGCCGCACGCATGCCAGGCGAGCACGCTACCGCTTGAGCCACATCCCCAGCCCCTCAATAATTTTTTTAAAAACATATTTTTAGTGGTTGATGGACCTTTATTGTATTCATTTGTTTATATGTAGTGCTGAGAATTAAACCTAGTGCCTCCCATATGCTAGGGCAAGTGCTCTACCACAGAGTCACAACCCTAGCCCTAAGCTCAGTGGTTTTTAAGCTAGGCTAGGAGAGATCTTAAAGAGTTCCATTTGAGCACTTGGGGTGAGAGAGACGATACTGCAGAGGACCACTCTAGGACATATGGGATCTTGGGATCTTCTGTTCTGGTTTCAGACAGTTATTCTTTTTACTTTTTACACTTTGTGCTTATATGAGGTTCTTCCAATACAAAAAAAAATCTTGAAAACTGAACTGAGCTGGTTCATCTCCTTGTACTGCTATTTGATAGAAGAAGCCACTGGAGTTTAGAGAGAATGGATGGGTTGTCTTAGTTAACCCAGATTATCAATTGGAAGACCTAGATAACAAATTTGACTTCTTGGTTCCCAGTTATATGTTGCTGTTTCATTATGGTAATTGTGTCCAGCTAGATAAATAATTTCACTAGAACATAGTGTTAGAGAAGCTCAAGGAACAGGTTGCTTGGCTTATGTTTCCAGAGGAAAGTCTGAATACGTTCTGTTCATTCTAATTTCTCTATGTCCCAGTCCTGTGTCATTATCTTTCAGTATGAAATCCAATAGGAAAATGGAAGGTGTTATTGATAGCCCCTTCAAACCCTGTAATAGAGAAAAATTCTAAACAATGTAATGTCCATTAAATAAATTGTAGTTCACCCATTTTATGTAGAGCATCATACTGCCATTATAAAGAATGAAGTAATCTTACATGTAGACATAGAAAAATGTCTACAATATAATGTCAAGGTAGGAAAAAAAGGTCAACTTTTGTGCTAGTTTACATAGGAAGGGCTTATGTTTGTTTAAAAAAGTTTGTATATACCCTAGCAGAATATTTGGGAAGATGCACACTTTAATGGTTACTTCCCAGGATTGGTGTGGTAGGGAACTTTTGTTTTGACAAAATATTCTTCTTTGCTTGATTTTTTAAAAAAACAATGAGCAGGGGTTACTTTTGTAAAAATAATAAAATCAGTTTTATTTTTTAAAAGAAAAAGTTGTGGTTGTTCTCTCATTGGTAAGAATAGATAATCCAGTTATCAGAGGTTGCTCTTAATTCAACAGTATCCCCCCTCGGGCTACAAAAACAAGTGAGGGCTTTGGAGGTGATCAAAATCCGCAGCCCTAGGCTAAAAAGAATATTTGCTCTTATTCACACTAGGTATTATTTTTGAGTTAGTATAGAGTTTCTCAGTTTAGTTCTCTGAACCCACAAGTCTTTTTTTGTTATTTTTCTTCTAATAATAAAAGCAATGTATATTCATTATATAAAACTGGGAAAATACAGGAAAACACAAAGAAGCATGGGTTTATGGTCCAATCATCTAGAGGTAAATATTCTTAACATTTTATCTTGTTTATTTCATTTCTATATTTTTTTTCCAGTGGATTTGTTCATATGAGGCTGATATTGTGTTTAAGTTCAGAGCTTAACCTGCTATTCTTTTACTTAATTTAAAAAAAAATATTTATTTTTTAGTTGTAGTTGGACACAATACCTTTATTTTATTTATTTATTTTTATGTGGTGCTGAGGATAGAACTCAGATCCTTGCACATGCTGAGTGAGCACTCTACCACTGAGCCACAACTCCAGTCCATACTTAATGTTTTTTAAAAATTTTTTTTAGTTATAGGTGGAAACAATATTTTTATTTTATTTATTTTTATGTGGTGCTGAAGATTAAACCCAGTGCCTCATGCTTATGAGGCAAGTGCTCTACCACTGAGTCACAGCCCCAGCCCCTACTTAATGTTTTATCATAAGCTTTTCCATCATAAATTAATTTTATAAACCTCATTTTGAAATATAATATCTTATTACATTCATGTACTTCAGTTAGAAGTACTTCAGTTAGAAGCACAAAGACATTCTAACTGGAAGTCAAGTATGTGGTTCCAAGGGTTGATCAGAGTTGATATCATGGTGACTCATTAGGACGTTCAGAGTAGTTCTGAGATGGCTGCTGAAGCTCCAAATGGCCAAATGGCCTCCATATAGCTTAATCCTAAATGGGAAGACAGGATGGATAGAAAAGGTATGTTATAAAAATATGCTTAAAAGTTCCCCCCACCCCCACCCCCAGAGACAGGGTCTTTCTGTGTTACCCAGGCTGTTCTTGAATGCCTAGTCTCAAGCCAACCTCCCATCCTCCTGTTTCAGCCTCCTGAGTAGCTGAGTAGTAGTGCCTGACATTGCCCCTAGCTTAAAATATACTTTTTTTTTTTTTTTTGGAGGGTGTGAAAGTGGGGGTTTGGGATGGGGGAGGGAAGGAAAACTTTACCAATTATTAAGAGCTGTAAAAATAGTTATACTCTTTGATTTAGTATTTATACATTTGGGAATCCATTTGAGGTAGGCTTTCCCTTATACCTCCCTGTCCAAATCTAGGTCTTATGGACATTCTTGGACTGATAATTGCCATGATTTACCTCTGGGATCGGGCCACTGCCACCTAAACAAATTATCAAGGGGATCAGAAGAAAATCCAGCTATTTGGTAAGTAACTAAAAAACATTTTCTCCCTTTGTATAGGAAAGAGTCTTTCAAATAAAATATTCAAGCGTCCAAGTTTTTTTTTTTTTTTCCTTTTGGATCATTTTCTTTGGAGGAATTCACACAAGTAGAATTACTAAATTGAAGGATGTAAACTTTTTTAAAATATATTTTTTTAGTCATAGATGGATACAATCCTTTATTTTATTTACTTATTTTTATGGGGTGCTGAGGATCGAACCCAGGGCCTACATTTGCTATGTGGGCACTCTACTATTGAGTTACAACTGCAGCCCCAAGGATGTAAATATTTTTATGGTACCATTTATATACTTAAGTTATGGTAAATAATTATTAGAATTATTAGTTATGGTAAATAATACTCTGTTAACAAATACTAGATATTCATTACAGATAGGAATTTTAATGTTTTTCTGTTTACTGTGCTCTAGATTTACTTTTTTTGGGGGGGGTGTACCAGGGATTTAACTCAGAGGCACTCAATCACTGAGCCACATCCCCAGCCTTATTTTGTATTTTATATAGAGACAGGATCTCACTGAGTTGCTTAGTGAGATGTGCTTAGCTTAGTGCCTCACTTTTGCTGAAGCTGGCTTTGAACTTGCCATCCTCCTGCCTCAGCCTCCCAAGTCACTGAGATTACAGTCGTGCACCATAGCGATGGCTAGGTTTACTTTTGAAACAGGACAGTGAAATAAGATTCCCTTACAAACAAAATAAAATCAAAACACCACTAAAAAATCACTCCAGTTCCATATGTTGTCAGGGTTTTCTTTAGTAATTATTGAATGAACTGAAACCGGACACAAGTCACAATTATACTTTCTATCTCTGAGAACAAACTCTGAGGTGAGCATCATCTCTCGTTGAGGAATTTGGAGCTGGATGTCTGACTTGATCTGCCTCCCTGTTCTTCTCATTCTGTCTGCTTTAGATTGTTTTATCATTGACCACTTCCTTATAAATGTAGTAGCTATGGAAGGGAAGATAAGGTGAAACTCAGTTAATTTTGCCTTTATTACTGAATGAGGAAAAGATTGAAAATTTTAAGAAGCTAAAACAGTCAAAGGGAGGAATTTAAAATATCTCCCTTCTCCTTATCTTTTCATTCTCTGCCTCAGAAGATTTAGTCAACTGCAATCAGATTTTTTTTCCCCATAAAAGTATTAGTCACACTGGATTCTTTTAGGGGAAAGATAGCAATATGTTTAAAGACCCAGGAGAACTGTTTTGAGTGTTAAATAAAATTTGGATTCTAAAGAAAAGTGGAAGGATTTGTTGGCATGACTCTAATGGATTAAGGCTTTGCAAGTGAGTGTGCTAATTAAGTCCACTTCTTTTTTCCTCTGTGTGCCTTTTCTTACCTACCTTGAAAAATTATAGTACCACCAGCACTTTAACAAAGACCTCTCCCTGTACTTACGGAACCGACAGGACCCGCTGATGAATTTGAGGTTCCACCCCCTTGAGAATCTGTTGAGATTTCTCTCACATGTTTCTTAAGTTTTATCTTAATCTTGTATAAAAGATAATCTTTAGAAATTCTTTCCTCTGTAGACTGCTCTGTTTCCCCATAAAATACACTTGCAAATAAGTCTGCAGATTTTTCAACACAATGCCTGCAGCAACGTCCATGATAAATCCTTTCCTGGCCTCAGCTTTCTGTAACCTTCTCCATCCCTCACAATGACACACACTTTCTCTCATTCATCTTTTATTACAATTCAATATTGTGCTTGAATATCATTAGCTTGTATGCAGCATCCCTTTCTTTTTTTTTTCTTTAAAGGACAAACTACTGTTGTTGTGCACATTTCATCTGGAAATTGACTTTGGTGTTATAGGTTCTAATATATTTACACAACAGGTACAGAAAGGTATTGGAAAAAAGAAGAAATATTTTTAACATCGTAAACCTCTAGCAAAAATATGTGTGTAATAGAATCTGGTACTGTGGTATTACACACATTACAACTGTCACTGTGACTTAGAGGCCTTAGTTTAGCTGAAAGAAAATCTATAACCCCAGAAATGCAACAACGCCTGAGTCACAGTTCAGGGTAATAAATGTTTTTCACAGAATACTGTAATCCATATTTCCAAAGCTGATGCAACAAAGGAATTTCTACTAGAAATCTTTCAATTTCATGGGTGGAGGCTCCAATGCAGAGAGAAACAGAAAGAGAAAAAAAATTATTTAGAAAAAAATGATCCACTTGAGTGACATGATAAACTGCTCGGATGTTCAGAAAACTTAGCCATCTGAATAGGGAATTCAGTGGCCTTATACTCTCCTCTGATAAAAGGCCAGAGAGGGCAAACTCATAGCTAACTTGATTTGAATAAGTTTAAGGGTGGATTGTTTCTCTTTTTAAAAGGCATGTTATCTTTAAGAGAGTTGTTTTATGACTAAAACAAGCAATTGGGAAGAGGAATTCCAGACTTGGATACTGAAGGGCTTTCTGCAAATTGGGGAAATGAGGGAATAAGGCCTCCTTTCATTGCCTTTGTATTGGCCTGGACAGGGACTGATGTTCTGAGAAACATTCTCTTGTGCCTGGGGGATGCCAGCTGTGTTCTCCAGACTTTGATGGGGGTGGGGGCAGATAGGATCAGGATGGCAAATGGGCAGCAAATAGAAGGTCTGATAGACACACTGAAAAAAAGATGGTGACTTTAATTTGGCAGCCTTTATTCTTGTGCTTTTTCTGATCATCTAGAACCATCTTTTTTGAAATGAGAACAGGAACTAGAATTTTTTCTTTTTTGTTTTTTTTGAGGACATGAATAGGGCCTCCACCTTGAGCTGTGGACTTTAATATTACAAAAGAGGCCTGGCATTTCATCTCTGTGCCATGTGATTACCTTCCTCTCATGATAAACTCCTACTCATTCCTCAAGGCCCATTTGAATGTTCCCGTAGACATGATTTTCTCCTACTTCTCAGCTCCAAAAGGAGCTTATTTGTATTCCTTTATACCATTATGATCTCCTAAAGTTAGTAGCTCACATGGGCAGCAGATCAATTTGCTGAAGTTCAATTCCCCAAAGTCGTTTAGCCAAATTAAATTCACCAAAAGTCAATTGAGGAAATCAATTTGCCTAAAGCAAATTTTTCTACAAGTCTGTGATTTATTCATCATAAGTTCCTTGATGGCAGAAACCTTGTCTTATTCACTCTTGATGCTCCTCCGCTACTCAGAACATATTGCTTGGGGTATTGAAGGGTTAGTGGATGCTTATTGCTTATTGAAATTAATTGAATATAATTATAATACAGATGAAATAGTTTCATATTACTCTTGATTTCCCTTATGTTTTCTTTTTTCTATCTTGGTTAAAAGGTACAGACCATACCTAGCTGGAGTATCGAGACCTTGAGAAGTTTTTCTGCCAAGTCTGTCCTGTAGGCATAGAGCTAGGATAGATTTATGTGAGAATTTCAGCCCTTTTTTGGAATTAGAATCTCTTGGCCTCTCAATAGCTTGTGTTCTTTTTGCTTTACCGAACTTCTTAGATGAATTTATCTTTGTGTACATTTATTTTCTGGATCCTTTTGTTTAGTCTCCTTGTTGCAACATTATAGTTGATTCATCACCACCGATTGTTCCTGTAGACTGAATGTTTGTGTCCCCCTAAAAAAAGTCCCTAAAATTCATATGCTGAAATCTAACACCCAGTGTGACAGTAGTTGGGGATGGGGCCTTTGAGAGGTGATTAGATGATGAAGGTAGAGTTATCATGAATTGGATCTTTTACGGAGATTTCAGAGGGCTCCTCAGGCACTGGTACCATGTGAGGATACAAGGAGAAAAGGGCTGTCTCTAAACCAGGAAGAGTGCCCTCACCAGATAATGGATCTCTGAGCACCTTGATCTGGGACTTTCCAGGCTCTACTACTGTAAGAAATAAATTTCTGTTGTTTATAAGCCAATTAGTCTATAGTATTCTGTAATAGCAACCTGATGGGCAAAAACAGAAATTGGTACTAAGAAGGGGAATGCGGCAATAAGAAATATCTGAAAATGTGAAAACAGTTTGGGAACTGGGTATTGAGTAGAGGGAAGAGGGGTTTTGAGGAAGATGCTAGAAATATGGATCTTAAGGGCGATTCTGGTGAGGGTTCAGAAAGAAAAGAGAACTGGAGTGTAAACCCTCAATCTTAGGGAATGCCTGAGTAAAGATGAACAGAATGTTGGTAGCAATATAGACGGCAAAGGCCATTCTGTTGAGGTCTCAGACAGAAATAAGGAACATGTTATTGGGCACTGGAGGAAAGGTCATTCTTGTTAAAAAGTGGCAAAGAACTTGGCTGAGTTGTGTGCACTCTAGTGTTTTGTGTAAGGTACAACTTGCAAGAGATGAAATTGGATATTTGCCTGAGGAACTTTCTAAGAAAAATGTTGAAGGATTAGACCAGCTCCTCTTGACCACTTAGAGTCAACCTCAAGAAGAGAGAAATGACTTAAAGATAGAATTTTTCAGCAAAAAGAAACCAGCATTTAAAGTTATGGAGCAGTGTATACATACTGAAAAGAATGAGAAGGCGTCTAGGATGTGACCCAATGACTTTCTTTCTTTTTTTTAAAATGTATTTATTAGTGCATCATAGTTATACATAATAGTGAGGTTCATTTTGACGTAACCATACATGCATGGAGCATAATTTGCTCCATTTTAGTCCCTAGTACTCTTCCTCTTTACTTCCTGTCTTCCCTCTCCCTATTCCCCTTCCTCTGCTCTCCTTCTATTTATTTATTGCTTTTTTAAAGTTTATATTTTATAGATATAAAGCACAATTCCATATGAAGGTGGAATTCACTGTGGTATATTCATCTAGGTATGTGGCATAATTTGGTCAATTTCATTCTGCAGTTCCTCCCTTTTCCCACTCTCCTCCCTGTCCCTCTATCTCCTTCCACTGCTTCACTGATCTCTTTTCTATTTTTAGTGGATCTCCCATCCCTTTTTCTTATTTGGTT